ATAACTTTTTTTATCACAGATCAACTCTGAACTCACTTGCGCTTTTCCATTGATTTTTTCTTCTTCAGAATAAAACAATGAACGCCTTTAGGCAACGTTAATTTTGGTCTATTTGCAGGTTTAGTTGTGACATTGTAAAAGTTTTGTGAAAGAACATTATGACAGAACATTGATATTGTAGAATCGAATGCTGTATAAATATTACATGATAATTATTTTGTACATAAATTTAATTAATATTTATGAGCTTGAGTTATCAACGAAAACACTAAAAATTGTATTAATTTATTTATAAAATACGAATCACATCAAGAAGATAATTACTTAGATGACTTTATTTGGCTAGTGGTGAATTGTCTGATATAATTATTAAGTTTAAAGTAAAAACAGAAGAAATTAAGATTGTATCGGCATGAGGGCTAAATAATGAGAAATTAATAAAATGTTACGTACATCATTCAAATATGTTTATAAAATACTCATATCAATCTAAATATGATCTGCTCGATAAAAGTGAAAATATTAAAGAATAAAGTTGAATCGAAATACATATGCTCTTGTGGAAAGTCTGTGATTTGATTACTAAACTAATAATTATAACTAACTAATAATCACTTCACGTCACTTGCGATAAAATAAAACGATGTTTAGATAGATTCATTAGTCTCCATTTGCCCTTATGTATCAATGTCATTATTCGTAGCATCATGATAAAATTGAAGCTTATATTCATCGAATTCAATTTCTGGATCGTTGTGTATTAATTTATTTGAAACTCATTGACGTCTTCATCGTCCTTAGCATACAATTCAAAATAATCACTTCCGTAATATAATTAAACAAATCATTGTTAAAATTTTATAATTTCATCGACCGCTTAAAATTCTGCATGAAAATTCATAACCATCAGTATTATTAAAATGAATTTTTCCTTCACTACTCATGATACTGTTTGTATTCGCAAAGTTGTTTGATTTGTCACTGAAAGAATCATTATAAATTTGATCCCTAAAAATTTCATGGATGTGTTGGTCGTTATAACGATGGTAGTTGAAAATAAACATGGAATTTTCCATTTTAAACGACTTTATCAGATCTCTTGAAATTAATATCCTTCTGTATTTCACTAGATATTTAGTTGATTTCTTGTCTTCATTTTGTTTTCCTTTCAGACTTGTATTGCCCTTTCTCATTTCCTCAATCATTTATTCAGTAGAAACTAATTTATTAATGACTCCTTTTTCTCGGATATATTGTAGGAATAATAAAATGTCCCGCATTATTGGAAAAGCGAGTTTATTGCAATCTTTTCGTTTTTGCTATTTTTATACTTTACATATACACACATACACACACACACACGCGCGCGCACGCACACATGCACACACTCACACACGCGCGCGCGCGCACACGGACACACCCACACACACACACACACTATATATATATATATATATATATATATATATATATATTTTATATACTTCTGTATCGAAACAGAATTCTTAATGGCTCCCGCCGTTTTGATAAATGTTGTGTGACTAATAGAGGCTTAGCCATTGAATGTCAATAGGCTTCAATAATCCTAGCTGCTTCAATACGCATGCGATTCATAAAACCCACCAAATGTTCATGTAGAAGAAATTGCGCAAAATATATGTACTTATACTTAATAAGAATTGTTGACAAACGTCTGACAATTTTTTAGTAGCATCTTTCGTACATAAATTCAGTATATGGTATTTACAATTTACCTTTATGACGTTGTCGAGTACAATTGTGAGTCTCGCAAAAACTGATATATCGCTTTCTTCCATCATGACGTTTGTGGAATTGTAAATGTATCCATCACGCTGTTATGCTTGCCAGTCCCTCTTTTATTCAGACTAGAAGTGCATTAGCGCGCGTACCGCGCGCGTTGAGCTTGTTCATCTGGATAATAGGTGCAATCGATATTTAACTCTTTGTAACAATATTAATAAAATAAATAAAAAATATCTGAATTGAATTTCGCAATGTAAAATATTTCGACGTTAATAAATAATTTATAAATACAATTCTTTATACACGAAATTTTTAATGCTGTCCTTATTAGGACAATCCGTATAGATTTTCAATGAATTCCACGTTTGAACTCGAGATAAAGCAACATATAACTAGTCGTAGTTGAAAACGTCGTTTCTTAAATCTATTCCAATTTTTCCTAGAGTCTGACATTGTGCTTTATTTATTGTTATTGCAAATGTTAATTTGATACGAAATTATCGACGTCTAAAAACAAATGGATATTCATTTTTGGAGGAATACAATGTTATACGATTTAAAATAGTATATTACGATACATGTGACTTACTCGCTCCGCTCGGGCGCTAACTACTCGCCGTGTAATAATGCGCCACTTAAGTCACGAGTATCGTATACTTTTTTATAGCATCGTGTGACATAAATCCGCCATATTCTCAATTTATATACGAAAGGGTGGTTGTTATTAGAACAATTATTAATAAAAATGAATTCAAACGATTCAATCGACTTGATACCTGAAGAAATGGAAATAGAATCATCTAGTAGCGATAGTAATGATAATGAAATTGTTCCTGAAGCTATAAGGCAAAAGGCTAATAAAGTCTCTTTAGAGGCATTACCTGACAAATTAAAAAGATTATATACTATTAGTTATAACGCTTTTAAGAAGTGGCGTAGAGAACAGCATACAAATTCTTTCTGTCAGGACATACTTTTGGCTTATTTTTCTGATCTATCAAAAAAATATGCTCCTAGCAGTCTTTGGTCAACATATTCAATGCTGAGAACTACAATTGATTGTTTTGATCATATTGATATCGCTAATTACAGTAGACTACTTTCGTACCTTAAAAAAATGAGCAAGGGTTATGTACAAAAGAAATCCGCTGTTTTTATTACTTCCGACATTTCAAAATTTTTAATTGAAGCACCTGATGAAGTTCATTTACATGAAAAAGTAATTATGATTTTACTATTTATAAGATAAACTACGATTGATTTTGATTAGATATTGATTTTTATAATAATTATAGGTTTCACTAATTTTCGGTATAGCTGGGTGCTTGAGAAGATGTGAATTTACAGATTTGAAGGTTAATGATGTAGTAAAGATTGAAAATGAACTTCTGATAAAGATTTTGAAGACAAAAAATAATAAACCAAGGTCTTTTATCATCTCTGGTGCTCTATATGATATTTGCGAAAAATATATGACTCTAAGACCAGTGACTTGCACTACAGATAGATTTTTTTTAAGGTTTATAAACGGACATTGTGTGAATCAATGTATTGGTATAAATATTTTTAGTAGTATGCCTATGAATATTGCTAAATATCTTGGTTTACCTGAACCACGCTCGTACACTGATCATAGTTTTCGCAGAACATCTGCAACAGTATTAACTGATGCTGGTGCAGGTATGGTTGAATTGCAAAGACATGGTGAATGGAAATCCAGTACGGTAGCTTATGGCTATATTGAGCAGTCAATCAATAATAAAAGAAACTTTTAACAAAATAAGTAGTGGAATCACTACTAAACAGAAGGATAGTTCAAGTGAACTTAAATTTATTGACCCTAGTATGCCATCCTCTTCCAAACATATAGGTTCACTTATTTATAAGGATCACATGACTTATCAAAAGAAATGTCATTTTAGAGTTCCACTTGAAGATAGAACTAATTTAGTAGATCCTCAATATTCAACTTATAATAATTGTTCAAAAGAAAAGATAACACAAGTAATTCAACTTGAGCTTTCGATGGATGAAATATCAAATGTAGCCCATCGAAGAGAACCACAAGAAATTCAACTTGAACCTTCGATGGATGAAATATCAAATTTAGCCCATCGAAGAGAACTACAAATATCTCAACATGAGCCTTTGAAGAATGAATAATCAAATTTAGCCCATCGAAGAGAACCACAAATATCTCAACATGAGCCTTCGAAGAATGAAAAATCAAATGTAGCTAATTCTCATACAGAACAGATGGTACATGATAATCTCATGGTCACTACAAAAATGGATCCTAATGTGCCAAAGCAAGTTTTTTATGATCCAGATATAGGGCTGTATATATTGGAAGATCTTGAAGATAAATGTAGTAAAACCTTCAATTTTAATCACTGCACTGTTACAATCAATGGGACAACTACGACAATTAATAGAAATAAAGGGGTACATCAGGCTGTTCAAACAGATGATTAAATTTTTTCTTAATTTAAGATTTATCTAGGTTACAACATTTATTTTTTTATATAATTAATCTATATGACATTATTAAAGTTTAAGAATTTTAATTAAATATTTTGTGTACTAATTTTGTGTTTCTATATATCATTGTTGTATTCTATCAAACTGAGCAATAAAACTATAATAATTAAGCTTTTGTTCTTATATTAGTGTATCTCATAGTCGTGTCTAAATTAGTAAACTAGCATTTCTGCACCAAATACATACGATATTTTATGCCATAACAACCTAAAAATAAGCTACGAAGTTACGATTTTTAAGTTAGAGTGGCATAAATTCATTATTTCACGGTTTAATAATGGTTCACTTAGGTCACGGAGAAGCGTGGCTTAAGTGCGGATTTAGGTCACGCAGTGCTATAAAGACTATTTTTCCTTTTTTATCACCACTAGAATTATTAAGCGCGCTTCGCGCGCTTTTTTTTTATGCTTTCTATGGAACGTATACTTTTCATTATTTGTTTAAATGAAATAAAATTTAATAATGTATCTACTTTTCAAATTCAATACCCAAAAATTAAAAAATAATAATGACCCTGTACTAAGTATTATTATTACTTGTGTAATTATGTTTATCGTGAATCTGCTATTAAAATTATACATATTGCATATATTTCTATATACTATTAGTTTAACTTATATAACAATTTTTTATTCGATTAGATTACAAATCTCATTTGTATGTATTATTTAGATTTCAAAGAATGAAGAACATTTTCATAATTCTGTGTACAATTCTTTGTAAACCCAATTTTTAACTTTTTTTCTTTGTATTTGGTTGCCTAGATATACTTTGACAGAATTCCAAGATCTAACTCTGGACATTGCAACATAAAGTTGTCCATGATGAAATACATCTTTTCTTAGATCAATACCAGTATTTTTAAAAGTTTGACCTTGAGCTTTGTTAATGGTCATTGCAAAAGCTAGTTTTACGGGAAATTGTCTTCTTTTAAATGTAAATGGATAATCGTTTTCGGAATATAAAGTTATACGATTTAAAAAGACAATTTGGTTTGCTCTGTCGCCTGTCAAAATGGTACATTTTATTATATGGTTTGATAAATCTATTATTTGCAATCTTGTTCCATTGCATAAACCTTCATTTATGCTTATATTTCTAATTAAGATTATAATACAATTTTTTCCCAAGCGTAATTCGTGATGAGGTAAACTTGGTGGATTTAAATGATTTAAATGTTCTGGTAATATAACATCATCTATTTCACCATTGTTATGAACAACGGAATCAACAGCAGTATATATACGTTCACAGTCATTATTCAATAAATTAGTAATTTGTTTATTAATCTCATCTACGTCAATATTTCTAGCTGATAATATAGCACATTTGCTCATTTCTTGGAATTTCTTTTCTTTAATTAATTTTCCAAATATAACGTCTATTAGGTCATCATTTGGAGGTAATATACACTGTTCAGGAAGAATTACTTTGTCATCTTCATCATTTAATGTACCATTACCAAGATCTAATAAAAATTTGGAAAACTCTACTTCATTTGGTAAAATTCTCATGTTTGTACTTAATGAAAATTTAGTAAAATTTTTCCACACTGTGCTATATTTAACGTAAAGACTTAATATTTCATTTCGAGTTCCATGAACTTTAATTGGAAATAATTGTCTTAAATCTCCTCCTACTATAATAACTTTCCCTCCAAATGGTAAATTATTGTTCATGAAATTTTGTAAAGTTTTATTAACAATTTCCAATGCATACCGTGGAGCCATCGAAATTTCGTCCCAAATAAATACTGTAGTTTCTCGTAATTGTTGAGCTTCTTTAGATTGTGCTCTGATATTGGAAGAAGAATCTTGAAACATAGGGACTGGCAACCCAAATGTTTTGTGTACAGTTTTTCCCTGTGGAAGTAATGTTGCTGCAATTCCCGTATATGCCATTACGCATATTTTGATATTTTTTAAAGTTAGCTTATGATATATAGTTTCATAAACATATGTTTTTCCTGATCCTCCTGGTCCATCCATATAAATACATTTTGGACCAACATAATTGATATTATGAACAGCTTCCAAAACCGTATTAACTATTTGTTTTTGTTGTGGATTTAAATTAATATAATGTTGTTGACCTTGGTCTTCAATTTGTTGCAAACATGTAGGATTTGTTGTCAATTGTACGGTATTTAATAAAATATCGTTATATGATTGATTTGGACATGGAAATTCTGTTTCAACAAATTGATTCATTGTAGGAAAATCTGTTAAAGTACGACCTTCTTCATTTAATAAGGTGTTAATATGAAAATATGCCATTTTGTGGCTTATGCTTTCTTCGTAATATCGAGAAAAATCTTCAGACATTGGATTTTTAAATTGATTCCACAATTCTTCTGGGTTAAGTGGTTGACAATGTATCATAATTCGTACAAATAAATAACGAAGTCTTTGAGGCATCATCCATTTTGATCCTTCTTCCAATGCGTGTTTCCATTCATCGTCATTTTCAATAAGACCCAATGCTAGGCAAGCTGCTGTAAAAGTAGGATGTGCTACGTTATCAACAGTTCTCAGACTTTCAAAACTTACGGCTCCTTTAACATGTAATAGTAATAATATTAAGTGAAATAATTCAATTTGCGTTGGACTGACAGAATACATACGCCCAATAACATTAAAATGTTTTTTTCGTGTACTCCACTTATCTAAACATATGTTTTCATTTTTTTGTTTTTTATGTGTAAAATGTTTTGGAATTTCAGCATAAAAATATTGTCTTGCTATCTCATTTTCGCTATTTAATTTAAAATAATCGAGCAACATACTACTTGTACTATTTAATAGATTTTGTAATGTCAAGGGATCGTTGACATTGTCAGAAATTATGATAGAATGATTATTAGGTAAATGCACAGGTAATCTAATAATACTATGGCTTTTATCGTGTAATGGTTTGCTTAATAAACGATAGACAGATTCAACAGGTCCAACATATCGAGTTTCTATAAACTTATTAATCTCGTCATGATTAATACCTACACCTTGTTCAGAATCTTGAATAATGACTGTAGCAGCATCATGACCTTTGTATATATATTTATATAAATATTTTACAGCTAAAATACTTGATACTGCTTCTACGTTTATACGACAATCGAACATTTCTGATATTTCTCGACAATGAGGCACTACCCATCTATTGTTAATTTGATGACCATTAAAGCGTTCGTGAATAATGCCATCATCTGTTCGGCGATAATTTGGGTAACCATTTTCATCCATAGTAGTTTCCTTTTGAAAATTCTTAGGAAAATTTTTAGAACATTTTCCGTTTTCCGTACACCAGTCACCGCAAGGTCCATGTATCATATGCTTTAGTATAATATTGTGACGTCGGGGTCACTTTCAGGTACGCTTGGAGCAAGCGTAAACTCAGGGTTGCTCTGATTTGGCTATCGTGTAACACATAAGCCGGGACGAGCAATATTGTTGCGTTGAGAAAACTGTATGCTAACGCGGAATGTAATAACCAAATGTTATTACGAACACACCAGACTCACGCTTAATGTGTTCTTAAGGGACTTTAATGGAAATTCACCAGACTCACGCTTAATGAATTTCCAAAAGAAAGGCGGATTACTTAAAGAAAGAAAAGGATAGCCAGGTTTAAGATTTTACTTACTTTTATTTTATCAATTTAGTTATTATTAAAGTTGCGTTCTCTCTCTGCTCTTTGGCCTCTTTCTCTCTCTATATGCTCTGAATATACTTGGGTGATTTTTCTTCTTTGATGCTTCCTCCGGGATTCACTCACTGGTAAAAACTTCTTATTAGGGACTTCCTGGTGCTCAGTCCGCACTTACTCTATCTGAACTTAACTTCCTCTCACTTCCTCTGACTTAACTTACTCTCCAGCCTTGTACAGAGCTTTTTATAAGCCGTGGATGGTTGGGTGGAAATCCCTTTCCTCAGGCCCATGAAGCGATAACGGCTAAATTTTGTATTGGTCGGAAATTTTCTAATCATATCCAGAATTTCTTTATTGGTCTGTGGGCGTGAATTTTCAGAGAGAGAAAGGGCGGTCCCTTTTTAACTTGGGCCCTTTTCTCCAGAGATGGCTCTCGGAGTGCCACTTTTAAGAGCAAGAGTAACGCTATAGCTTATAATTACTTATACATAATTGTACTAAACTTAATTAATTATGACGATACATAGTGACTATTATGAACATTCAGAAAAATTCAAACCTTTTACGATTTATTATAAAATACATTATTGTTCTATTTATTGGTTATTCGGTGACAAAAAAGTGCGCATTATAATGGCTTACAAAATTGATGAAAATCTATTTAATATTACGGATATTTTCTTAAAAATCGGTGGGAAAAAAAAAGATAGATTGCATTTTTATGGTCCCCTTCCATTATCAGCGTGATAACACTTCACGATGTATACGCGATGATCGTAGGCCCCTGTCAACACATACGTGTGGGACAAAGCAGGATAGAGCGTTGATTGTAAGCTTGAGTACGCAGGCTCGGGCCACTATCAAAGTTTATATTTCGAATGCGTTTTCATCGTGGGAAATCAGGAAGGTTCCCACTCCGTTCGTCATATTTAATAATTAAATATAAAAAAAAAACTAAGTTACGGCTAGCCGTTACACCCCCACACTTAAACGATTGCTAGAGGAGTGCAACGAGGAAGAGCAATCGAAATTTTTATTCTAATTATAAAGATCTTGTCGTATCATGCTGTAATCAAGGTTTTATCATTATTTTTATTATTTTATTAATCTCGAAGATCTTACCCTAACATGGGAGGAACCCAAACGATGGTTTAACTGCTTGAGATTGTGATGCTGGAATCGAATTACTCTGGTTGTGTTGTGTTATTTCATTTTCTGTTGTATGTAGAGTCGGATATAACTCCTGTCCAGGAGCGGTGGCAATATTTGTTGGGGATTCTACATCCCTTTTCGCTTCTGTGGGTTTTGGTGCTAAATGTATCAGAAACGTAGTTAAACTGTTCCATATGGCCCCAATCAGATGAAAAGACCATCCATAAATGCTATGTAGAGTTATTCCATTGATGAGGACTTCTATTAATTTTTTTGTAGTTTGGACAATTAGTATAATTGCAAGTATACCGGCACTGAAAGTACCAAAGGTCATAAATTTCATCCACATTTTGTTCCAGGTATTGACTATTAACTGCTCCATTACATTCTCATTCATTAACTTTCCAATTATTCCGTTACTGTCTCTTATGGTGTGTCCACGAATTTCTCTGGTTACATCATTTATTACTGCAGGTTGCTCCAAGGGGAACAGGATTCTGTTCATTAAATCTTGTAGATCCTTTTCTGTATATATTCCACTGGTGGCTAGTGAGGGAATATTCTGGTACTTCCAAGTTAATCCAGAAAACGGCTTAAGAGTGGTGGGAGTTTTTGCTTCTACTGCTCTTGGTAAAAACTTATACCAGTCATCATTAAAGAAAAAAAATGTGGGTAGGAGAGCATTACAATCAACTACTGTCCCATATGCCTTCAAAATATGTGTTTTTGGAGATAAAAATTTGGTATGGTTGTTATGGATTACTTTTAGTTCAGCATAACATTCGTCTCCTTGCGATACCTTCACATCAACGGGTATACACTTAACGATGTGTACTACCTCTCCTGCTGTCACAGCCATGTATCCGGGTCCTTTCATGAGATTATAGGCAAACTGATCGGGAGATTGACTAGCAATTGCAAGTGCATTTTTCATAATTTCTCTTTCTTGCTTACAGCGATGTACGACAACATCCTTGTACATACGACTTAATTGTACTTTTATGTGACGTTCTACATATACAAATTTAGAATTTACATACGCAAATATATCTAGGTTGTTCATTGATATTTTCTTACTTAGAAAAAATGCATTATTTTCGACAATATAAACAAATAATTTTGGGTGTTCAGTAACTATTATTTCGTAACCACATAGATTACGTTTAGATTTGGATATTAACGCAAAAGCAATGTCTTGTGTTACTAACGAGTATAATGTTTGTTCTATTTCACCTTCAATTTGATTAGCTGTTCCTTCATACAATATTTGATACCGATTAAATTTGCATACATCTTTAGGTACACTTTCCCAAAAAGTGTATCCTCCTTCAGAATCTATACAATGTTCACTACCTAAAATACATCTAACGCCACTACGTAATATTATTTGGTTATTATCTAAATCGACAGAAGCGGTATATTCTTGTAAAGTTACTTTTATTTTAGCTTGGACAACTACGGAATTCCAGCTTCCATAAGCATCGGAATAACAACCATAGGTACATTCTCCATTATGATCTACACTTCCTGCAAGTATAGCGGGTCTAACCGTGGTTTGATTAACTTTAATATCTCAAAATACATGTGAATTGTCAAAATAAAATGTACCGCTTTTGTGTAAATCATAACACGTTTGTTGGCTTACATCCATTAAATATTCTATTGCGCCATTCTCTATTATGGAATTATGTGAATGCATTCCACAATAATAAACAGTTCGGTCTACTTGGACTTTACATTGAATCACTTGAGCAGTTTCATAGTTATTTAACTGTAATAATTGAATGTACTTTCTTGTTACGTTTATTTTTGTAGAAGGCATTTCACATTCTTCCACGCTTACTAAAGATATAGTGGTTATATTAAGAGATCTTGCTCCGCAGTCGTATCCTATGATGGCTGTAACTGGATTAGTTATTGTTAAAAATATCAGTGATAACAGAGAAGAATGCATCATGTTTTCGGTTCTGTAATCAGAAAATATTTCATTATATGTTCCTTTTGATCTTTTGTTTGTTTCATAATATATATATATTTTGTTTTATGATTTATCTCATTTTATTTTATATTATATTATATTTTTCCTCTCTACCCCTTTTTCTATTTCGGCTTATTTTCTTTGGTTGATTTGTTTATATGTGAAATTCGGAGTCTATTTGAATGAACTATTTTTGTGCCCTTTTTAGTCTCTATTTTGACATTATGTTTTGGAAGAATACCAACTATTTTATAAGGCCCTGAGTAATGATCCCCGAATTTCCCTGGTTTAGGTCCTGATTTTAAGAAAACGTAATCACCTAAACTAAAGTCTTTTGGATTTATATGTCTATCGTAATATTTTTTTGATTTTTCTTTAGAGCTAACTAAATTTTCGTAAGCTAATTTTCGTATACTACATAAACGCGCAACTAAATCTATTATATATCCTTTATATGTAGGTAACGTATCGCTTTCACGAAGGGGATTATTTGAGGGCATTCGAGCTAAGCGGCCAAATACAACTTCATACGGCGTATGTTTGGTACTTTCTTGTACACAGGTATTGTAGTTTAGGATAGCTAGGTCGAGCCAATCATCCCAATCGTTGTCAAGATCGGTGTATTGCTTTAAGTACTCAATTAACACGTGATGAGATCTTTCTAGGGAACCGTTCGACTGAGGCATGAATGCTGTGGTTTTTAATTTCTTTATTTTGAATCGCTTGGAAATACGCGTCATTAGAGAACTCAAAAAATTTCTGCCTTGATCAGTAAGCACAGCTTTCGGACATCCAAAAACACAAATGAATTTCTTAAGAAATGCGTCCGCTATTGTTGATGATAAGGTGTCTGCTAATGGGACAGCTAGACAAAATTTACTTAATTGATCCTGTAAGGTTAAAATGTATTCGTTTCCTTTTATTGTTCTTTTTAGAGGGCCTACAATATCCATAGCAATTTTATCAAACACTGTAGCACATGTATCAGTTATTATCATAGTTTGTTTGGTTTGTAAACGAGTTAATTTCTTTAATTGACATTCTAGACACTGTTGGATTCGCCTTTGTATATCGTTTTTTAGATTTTCCCAATAATATTCTTGTCTAATCCGGTGAAAGGTTTTTGAAACGCCACGATGTCCTCCAATTGGGGATTTATGGAATTCATAAAAGATTCCGTCGCGTTGTTCTAAGGGTACATACTTTAACTTATCTGTACAAATTATTAATTTTATTCCACTATTTCTAAAGACACTATCTAATAA